TCGAGTTTCAAGCAGCAAAAGTTTGTCATCAGAAAGTTTGCTACCTGATTCTTCCAGTGCAGCAATTTTGGCTCTTAGCTAAAAAAGAGAGAAATTTTCAGCAAACATTTAAAATAAACTTCCCAACACACCTCATCACAGGTAGTCGATGATTCCCTTGTAATCGTTTTCAGTTCAGAATCATGAGCTTCCTGCACCTTTAAGCAACTTTGCTGAGAGTGAATTGATTTCCTGAAAAAGAGGGAATATTCATATGAGAAATTTCAAGCAATATAATACACAAATATTCTTGAACATAGACACAACGAACTTCGCTTGCACGAGTTCTCTCCACTTCGCGAGCATCCTCTACCTGGATGAGTTTGGTTTGCACAGTTTCAACTTTTGCCTGGAGATTCTGACACCAACATTTCTGTAGCGGCCTGAAAACATATAAGTACACTATTAGATATTTTTTGGTCTCTCGCTAGCACATTTCGCTGGACAAAGTCTGCAAGCTCACCTTCTCATCAAAGGCCTTAGAAATTGTGGTTCGAGCTCTTGAAATGTATTCCGAGATCATAAGAGCTTCCTTATCTAGTTGTTCACCATCAACGCAATGCTCTGGGATAGAGACGCTTTCTTGTCCAGTGCTTTCTTTTATAGTCGATAATGCCCGTAAAGCATGGGAAATGAAATCATCTTTCTGAACAAAATTGCTCAGTGAAATTAAGGTACGCGACTGTAAAACCCACCTTAGCAATATCGGCATTCAACAGCTTTGATTGATCTAGCAGAGAAACTATCTTAGCTTCCTTCTCCTGCACAATTGATATCAGCCTCGTGTTTTCAGAAGATAGCTCTTTCACAGAACACTCAAGCTCCGTCATTCTAAAAACGAAAGGGGTAGTTCATTTCTTGTTATTCTCTTATTCAGCATCCTCAGTACTGAGAGTTGGAGGAGCATTAATGTGAGAGCAATGTTATACAATCTCACTCTGGGTAGCAGTGTGACATAAATGGGACTGGAAATGTGGGTCATGTCCGCTAAGCAACCCTATAAAGAGGGAGAAAGGGTGAAAAACCTTAAGAAAATGCACTTTCTCAGTCTTCATAGGGTTGCTTAGCGGACATGACCCACCTTTTTCCTCTCCATGTATGTCACCCTGCTATATCAATAAAGGACTTATGGCAATGAGAAAGCGAATCGCAGAAATGTACTTGCGAACCGCACAATGAAAACACTGCGATCTGCAGCGATTGGTTAGCGTAGTGGAAAGCGCTGTACGTGTTCACTGATATCAAAGGGTTATGGCTCAAGTCGTCATCGCCCCTGTATTACATTGGGTTGATGTCTACAGGGTGGCGCAAAATGGCATGCGAATGAGCAATCATATTCGAGATCCTGAACTTTTTCAATTGTTAGAACTGTGCGATTCCTCTTTGATAGCCAACAGTTTTGACCCTCTCCTTCAAAATAGCAATTACAGTAGGCACTTACGTATCCTTGTATTCCAGTAACTTGTTCTCCAATGCTGGCACGATCGCTCCTTCATCAGTTTGACACGATTTCGTTTCACTTGTTGATACAGACGACGTCGCATTAGTCTCTGCAAAACACTTTACTCAATACTCAGAGTTACCACCAAAAATATACTTCTCGACTGAAAAGCATTGCTGCAAACTAAACTGCTCTTCATCTAACTCGTGGAAGGTATATTGATTCTACTCCAAACTTTCACTACTTTTGAACTTTTAAGCTGAGAAAAAGCTGAAGTGAGGTGACTGAACCAGTTTGTGACACTAGTTTGTGATGTGATAGTTTGTTATGTTGGTTTGGAAAGGGCTTCAGCCTTATGAAGCCTTTTACTACGAACTACCACCAACGTAAAATTAGCTGTGCTTGGAAAACGAGTTCATAATGAATTACATCATGCACGGCGAATTTCATAGATATGCAAAAGGAGGTGAATTTTGCAATCCCCTAGAGTTAGCGAGGCTGTATGGGGTGAGCTGTCATCGAAAAATAAGCGCGCTAACGAGCAATGCATAAGCGAAGGATTTATAAAGAGCTGGAATCAATTTTATCATGTGGGTATTTTCCGGTAAAGAAAAACCATGACAAATGGATCAGAGCGCGAGAAATGAGAGTCCTTCCTTGCCGTTGATTTCAGCACTGATGCGACTCCCATCCATGCTACTCGTTCAACGCTAACGCTCTATACGAGAACGACTAGAGAACTACAGCGAGAGCTTACCCACCGGTGGGGGTTTTGAGCTGATGGCGCCGCGGGGGTGGCCCTGTTAGATCGCCGTGGCACATCCACGCTGCGAATTGCGTGTCGGTCCGCAACCTTAACGTTCCGCATGTCTTTCCATTAGTGCGCATCTCCTCTCCGACCTTCGACCCAATCGAGGGATCCTCCTTTAATCGCTAACAGGCAGGATTCCAGCATTATAAAAAAAACCATGCTATCCGCTCAGTTATCACTTATGCAAAAGCATCTGTGTCAACGTAATCATAATTCGCTCTGCGGCACGGATGCAGGAAAAGTCATTAGGACTAGACCACCAAACCACAATACCTCAGCTAACAAACAATACGAATTTACAGAACCTCAAACATTATAGGTGTAGCAGACACCCATCTGGTAATAAAGCAAACTAAAAAGAATGCATAAAAATACCGGCGTTGCAATGTAGTGTTCCGAGCTCATCACACTGTATACCAACACAGGATGTGGAAGTGGTCGCAACTTCAGTAGATGAGTCACGAGACTTTATTGTTACAGTTTCACTAAGTTCCGCAATCGATGGTTGCGGCTCACATGGTGTTCCTGAAGTGATGTCCAGAAATGAAATTGTTGGTAAAAATACGAGCATGGAGGAGCAGCATAAAAATGTTGAAAATGCAAACTGAAACTTTGTGGTGGATTAGGAATGACCATACAAATGATCCGTCCGCTTTGAACTGCTTCGTAGTCCTACTATTTGCTTCAAAGCTTTACGTTTGAAGAATTAATCATGACGAATTAGTTTCATTAATCTTCTGGGAGACTGGCGCAGATAAAAATCGCAGAACCTGTTAGAAATAGGGTCGTGAGTTGATTTTACTTTCGTGACGACTTTCCAAAGAAAGTGGTAGAAGTACAAAAAGCTACGTTGTTCAGTTCGGTTGAATTATAAGACGCTCGTCTGCTGCAGTTTGTGCTAGTTTAAAATTTACGTCTCTTGCTGGGGGAGGGTCATCTTGGTTTCTCTAAGTATTTAATTTTGATAGCTCGGTAAGCAGGCTCGGGCTTCATTTATTTAGTTGGCAGACTATTTCACTTTTTACTTCTATTTCTTACGACGGTTGTGAACGCTAATTGATACACAGCACACCAAAGTACAGTTCTCACATCTAATTAAGTGCATTGTGATCTGTTTCGTAGATATGGTAGCATTGATTCTGCTCTCTCAACCTTCAAGGAAGGTACAGGGGAAGCTAGAAGGTTACTTTCGAATAGGTTATTTTGGGATCAGGTCGCACAATTTCGGATTTAGAGTTCGCTGTCTCAACGGAGCGGTTTTTAGATTGGAGTATAGAGGTAGGAAGGCTTGCAATAAATTAGTTTTTTTTGCAACTCTTCTTGAAGTTGGCTGTTAATTACGTTTAATTTTGCGCCGGAGGCGGATCAGGGGGGGTGGGGCTCTGTCGTGTAAGGAGGGCTAGAATTTTCTGCTCGACACAAGCCTCCACTCGCTGACATAAACGGCAGGGAGCCTTTGAAAGCAGTTTCGGAAGTTTCAGATTATTAAATTAGCCGGTCGAGACGGTCGTTCTCAGAAATAAGGGCAGAAGCAAACCGTGGACACAAGTATGAAGGAATTACCAGCCACAGGAGATTCGAAGCGGGGGTCAAGCGGAAAGAGACTATTACCAAGTAAAATTTTTTCAGGTCTATCGTACGCAAGCACGGAGGTCTTTCACAATCCCATGTTCATTGCCGCTACCACGCAAACTTTGCTGTCCCGGTTAAGTTTGAGAATAGAGCATCGCTTTCAAAGAGATCGCTTGAAATTCCAGTATTGTTTCTTTTTGTAGGAAGGGAAGGATGGCTTTTATCGTCGAAGGTTGCGGAGCGCTTCGCGCGCTCTTGCCTCCACCTCGGGCAATGAATATTCCGTCTATATCTATTTTCAATAATTTTGTAATAATTTACATAGTCAGAATAGGAGAGGGTGAGATAAGAGTATAGCCTTAAATTGTTTGGCTGATGGTTTTCATGAATAGCTATTGATTTGTATAGTGATGGGTTTGATTGCTTTTCAGAGATAGAGTAGCTGGAGTGGCAGAATTGTTTGTTTTGAAAGTTTTTTTGGTTTCAAAACCGTTTGAACTGTCTAGGGATGTGGGTCCCATTGATTGACCGGGAAATATATATTTGATGGGTTGAAAGGTCACGCTGTGAGTCCGATTCCAGAGGTGATTTCCGGGATTTAAAAATATGCGTCGTGACTAAATCACATTATGTGAATATTTGAAAATGTGTAATGAGAATAGAGGTATGATGGAAAAGACGAGTAAAGCAGTGTGAAGAGAAGTGCAGGCATTTTAGGCATTCGCTTGGGTTTCCGTACAGCAAGTCACTTTCATTAAATATAACCTGAAGCAAACTTTCCTTTACTCCTCTATGTTCGTGGATTTGAGGTAGCCTACATTGACGTTTGAATGCGGTTTGGGTCCGTGCCGAGCAGTTTCTTGATCAATGGGATCTTGATGGCTTAGTCGTCGAGAACGAAGGAGAGACGGCGTAGATCGCGGGTTTGTTACAGAGTGAAGCCGATACTCGGGCGGTACTAGTTCGTAGTGGTATGTAGGGTTTCCGTCTGGCCCACGTTGCGTCACGGTGCTGTAGTACGAGCGCGCGGAGGCCGCGGGAAACCTGCGGCGGTATTTCGGGGCGGGTCCGTGGGTGACGGTCGCTCGGGGTTATAGAGTTTCTAGGTGAGGGCTGCATTGTGATTCGACGTTGTCATTATACTTACTTGTGATGGTAGTTCATCTGAAACGTCACGCACTTACGGTCCGTAGGGGAAGTGCTCAAAGGGGTAGCTTCTGCAACATATTCACTTCAAGGAGGGGTTGCTGAGGAAATGTGAAAACCGTCGCGGGGAGGGCTACTTGTTCTCGAGCCGGGGGACGGGGTACTTCGGAGATCCGGGGCGAGGTCTTCGGCAGCAGGGCGCGCCCAAAATCGTGAAGAAGTAGGGGCAGCGAATATTTCGCTTACCGTCATTCAACTATCAACTGATCGTGACAGCCATCGTAAATCTCTCATTCATGTGAGGGAAGATTGGTGCTAACTTAGTTGGGGGGGGGGGGGCACGCGGCGGCGCGGCAGTCTGCTCACCTGGGCTCTCTCGAGCGAGACAGTGTAAACTCGAACATTCCAGCTTTTCACGCATGTCAAGTGACTGCCCCACCCCCACCCCCTAGACTGGCCTACACTCCCCCTGGCCCACGGATTTCCGAACATGCCAGGCGAGCAGACTGCCGCGCCGCCGCGTGGCCCCCCCCAACTAAGTTAGCACCGATGGCATGTATCAAGCTACTTCATACAGGCTTCTCTTGTGAAAATCGTCCGCTTCAAAGTCCATTGCCAGTGGAGAAAGGTAACTATAATAAAGAAAGCACTAACCTTTTATCGATCCTTTTAAGACGCGCCACGCATTGTAGTTCCATTCTTGTTCGGTTTGGCAATTAAATGCGCTCTGGCCAATGCAATGAATTGCGAGGTCACCTGATTCTGTGTTTTATTCAACATCATCGATTTCGAAGGGATTGGAGACCTGGGCGAAATTTTAGCTGAAACTTGACCTTCAGCTTGCTTACTAATCTTGCCATATATGAAAAAAACTTTACGGTAGGGATGTCATTTTATATGTGCCGCGAATTGCGTAATAGGCGAAGCGCATAGGGAATGCATATTGCAGCACACTGAATTCAGTTAGGCCGATGCCACAGTTTGCGATTCGAGCGATTTGCTAGCGAATTGCTGGATCAGAGCGTTGCGCCAGCGAATCGATGTGGAACCAGCGGTTCGGACTTTGCGCCAGCGAATCGACCGATGCACCAGCGAGTCCAACTATGTACCAGTGCCCCAACACTGTTTGAAAGTGACGGGACCCAACGTTAAAGGAAGTCCCGCCACTTTCAAACAGTATCGAGCCGCTGGTACATCGTTCGACTTGCTGGTGCATCGTTCGACTCGCTGGTGCAAGGTTCGAGTCGCTGGCTCAGCGCTCGGTTCCAGCGATTTGCTAGTGAATCGGTCGGTTAGCGAACTATGACATCGGCCGTACTTGGTTGCTAGAGAAGCGAGGTTTAGCGCTTTCACGACGAAAGGTGCGATGGTTGCTGAGTAAGACTTCGAAAGCACTCCGCCCCCAAAAGCGATCCGCCCACTAGTTAGTTGGTGATTTGGACGAGCTGCGCCTGAGCAGCGGTAAATGGGGGCTCTCGATTGGAGCGTGGTTTGGCATGGTGCCGCCAAACGCTTTGCGATGAACTCATTCATAAGAGTCCGCTTTCTGAGCTGTTACCTGTTCATGGGTGAAAAAGGCCAACGGCCAAAGAAGGGGGTCCAGTTTTGCGTTTTGTTGACGGGACACGAAATATGAGTCGGGCGTCGAATATTTCTCTGCCTCTTCGCCACTGGTGTACCATTGAGCAACCACGTCTCCTCTAAACATCCTTAAAGTGCTGCCATCGAAAACAAGGAAATCATTCGTTTCGTTCATACTTCAGGCGTACTCCTGTTATTCCCTTAGGGCCGTCATAGCGGAGCTGAGCGAAAGGCCGCAAACTTGACATACTGCCTGTGGCTGTTCATGCAGAAAGTTCTCTCTGGGTTTACGAGGTGCGAAAACTTCCGCGTCAGCTGAGAAAATCAGGTCGCCGTTCGATATTGGAGTGGGCAGATGGCGGAAATGATGGTGTTAAGCGTGTGCGAAGGGAAAAGGTCACTGTTCTGTTGCCAGGGCATCCGCACGAGCCCGAGAATCATAACATGAATGTAAATGCCCGTAGCTAAGCGAAGTTTGTGTTTTTGTTTATGGAGAAGTAGCTGAGAACTTTCGGGAGATTCATCGGCTTTGCGTGGCGAAGCGTCTTTTAATGTGCTCTCAGCATGTGCATTGAAAGAATTTTGGCGGGGCCACTCTCTGGGTTAAAAATGAGTTTGTGCTTGCAGAGGTCGTGTAAGAAACGTTCAGAGGGGGATGACGGAGCGGTTATATTCAGGGTATGTTAGGTATGACGTGAAGAGACAGTATAGCGTGTTCGGGTGGAAGGAGATGCAGTGAGCGAGGCGACGAGTGGAGGGCAGCGGCGTTGACATTCGCTCGGTTGGAGCGTAAAGCGAGAAGTCGAGAAGCGGAGAGCTCTAGATGTATGGCTAAGGGTGTGGTCGGGATCGGCATCGATCGTGGCGGGGAAGGCAGGATAACACGTATGGTCAGAAGGCTAGCAAGGTCGAAGTTTGCATATTCAAGGAATTTGAGCTGCGGCTTGTCGTGTATAAATGCCAGTCGAGAGTAGATGTCCTCGCATTTTATCTCCATCCAGGCTTAGTATCTAGGTACACGCCATCAATCTTACGTTGCTCACTCTAATGAATGAATTATGGCTCCCCCACTTTCTTCACATTGGCCGATGTCAGACTTTGCGATTGGAGCGATTTTGCACCAAT